GTAGAAGTTTTAAATTTTGTCTGTTTGCCAATGTTTTCTTATATGATTCTTGTTTTTTTTGCCACTGAGAAATCATTCCCTGCATTATTTACTGTGTTTTCTTTTAGAAAAAGATTCTCTTTTTCTTAGAGAACCAGATAGTAAATATTTTATTTTAGGCTTGCAGGCCACATACTGCCTCAACTTACTCAACTCTGCTGTTGTAGCTTAAAAGCGATTATATACAATACATAAACATGTTCCTAAAACATCCTTTGTTTATAAAAATGTAAGGGTTATGTCCTTCATAACCCTGAATTCAAAGACTGATAGTGTTAGGTTGTATGTTTAGTTGTGTGGTACCTGTTAAGTTAATTTTAGAGTTGACTGAAATAAGGGTTGAGGTTCATCCCATCCCCCACAATATATTATTTCAGTACCATTTATTGAAAGACCACAGAATTACTTTGGCACTCTTGTYGGAAAATAGATTGACTAAATACATGAGTGTCTACTTTTGAATTCTATTTTATTCTGTTGATGTGCATGTCTCTTCCTCTCTCCACACTCCCCCTTTTTTTTTGTGGTGCTGGGGATTGAACCCAGGTCCTTGTGCATGTGAGGTAAGTACTCCACCAGCTGAGCTATATCCCCAGGCCTCTTCCTCTCTTCCTATGCTAATATCTTGCACTGTCTTGATTCTTGTAGCTCTATAGTAAATCTTAAAGTCAATCAGTCTAGATTCTCCAGCTTTGTTCTTTTTCAGAATTTCTTTGGCTATTCCATATCTTTAACATTTTCATATAAATTTTAGAATCAGCTTGTTAATTTCTGCATAAAAACCTGCAGGGATCTTGGAATTGCCTGAAACTGTATATCATTTTGAGAGAAAAAATTTTTTAGAGTATTGAGTTTTGCAATTCTATTAATGTGGCATACCTGTCAGTTTATTCAGTTCTTTCATTTYTTGCAGTAGTGTTTTATAACTTTTAATTTGGGATCTTACACATGCTTTATTCAACTTATCTCTAAGAATATCTTGTTTTTTGATGGTATTATAAATGGTTTTTAAAATTTTGTAGTTCAATTATTTGTTGTTAATATATTGTAGTGTATTGACTTGTATTCTGTGACCTTGCTATATTCATTTATTGGATGTAGTAGCTTATTTATGAGTTCCTCAAGACTTTTTTTTAGGAATACAGACATGTCATCTCATTAAAATGCTTTCTCCCTTTTCAGTCTGAATGCATTTTATTTTCAATCTACTATACTGGCTAAGCCCTTCAGTAACAATATTGATCCAGATTCCTAAGGGAAAGCATTATCTGTCACCATTATGATGAATAGGTCTTAGTTTTAAAAAAATTTTTTATAAATGCCTTTTGTGAGGTAGAAGAATTTCCATTCTGTTCTGACTTGCTGACTTTATCATGAAAGGGCCTGGAATCCTGTTAGATATTTTTTCTGTGTCTTTTGAAATGGTCAGATAGTTTTTCTCTAGTGAATGTTAAACTTTTGCATCCTGGGACAAAGCCTTCTTGGCCATGGTGTTGTTGGGTTTAATTTGCTAATACTGCATTGAGGAACTTGGGCTCAGTTTTCTTGTAGTAATGTCTTTGTCTGGCTTTGGTATCTTTTCAGTTTTAAACATGAAAAGAAGTAGAATAATAAAATTAAAACATGAATCATAATATTGATTAGAGGTAGAATACAATCTGTTTTAGTACAGAGAGAGAGAGAAAGAGAGAGAGAGAGAGAGAGAGAGAGAGAGAGAGAACAGATTTTGCTGTCTTATTTAAAAATTCTCAAGTTTTTTTTTTTTTTTTTTTTTTTACAATTTTGGGTTACTAATTTGACACAGTTACTTCAGGTCTTCTGATAGGTGAGGTGTTTTATTTCAAACTTGTCTTATGTCTTTAACTTTTGTAACATCTTTACCAATAACAATGACCAGTTGCCTAATTTTACTAAATTTAAAAGCTGCCAGAGGTAAACAATGACTTTGATTAAGTAAACTGCAAAAGTGATAAGATTTGTTGGGTTAATYGCTCTTCAGTTAGTGATTTACACAAGAGCTGCCCAAATAAGGCACTTGAATTTTTTGTCAATTGTTTATTTCTGTTGATGGCAAAAATTAGGTGTAATAATAGTGCTAAAACATGATCCGAGGTTCATTTTAGAAATTACATATTTAAGGATTAACATTAGATAGGCTTGAAACTAGTTTAAGTGTAGAAAATCTATTTTAAATAACTTTGAATTAACAAAAGAATATTGAATAAAGGAACTTTAAAAGCTATTAAAAAGTATTGGGGGGGTGCTGGGGTTACGGCTCAGTGGCAGAGCACTTGCCTCGCACATGTGAGRCACTGGGTTTGATCTTCAGCACCACATAAAAATAAACAAACAAAATAAAGATATTGGGTCACCATATTTACAAGGAACATAATAGAAATACAACTTTTATTTATTTTTTTTGTAATTTTGCCTTCACTTGGCTTCATTTACTTTTTTTTTTAAGAAAGATAACATTTTAGAGATAGATTTTTAAAAAAGTTTTCTCTTTGAAATATTGCAAAAATCCAGAGTTATTTTTGTTTCTGTAAAAGTCGGTTCTAACTATATTAATTTATGTTCACTGTTTCTGCAAATTCATGATTCATTCTGCAAATAGTTTTGAGTAGTTCATTCTTTCTTTGTAAAGCACTGTGCTGTGAGCAGAGAACAAATGATTAACAACCAAGACAAGGTCTTAATTTCTTTAAGATTCTAGTCTAAATGGTAAGATTGAATTATCTATTTGGACTGTGGTAAGTGCAGTGATGAACAGTGTAGGATGCTGTAGAGCATTGCTAGGGGTTCTGTTCTAGTTTGGTGATGGTGGTTATGGGACCATGGGAGTAGTGCAGGAGAGTTTCTCTGAGGAAGTGATCTTGGAGTGAGATTAGAGTCAGTGATTGAAGAAGAAGGAATATTGCAGGCAAGTGGATCTGCATGTAGACTGGACCCCCAGTTGAACAATAGGTGTTTTTCAAGCTATAGTGTCATGACCCTATTGCATGTATGAAGCCAATTTAGTAACTTGAAATCAGCATTTATAAAAATGAAATTGAATAGAATGAAAAAATTCTGAGTACATCTTCTGGATCCTTAGCTAGAATCTGTATTACGAAAGATTCTTACACATACCACACACCAACATTACATACTAATATATATATATTAATAGTCATGATGTAAAACTGTTTCATACTGTGGGTTAAAGTAAACAGATACTGTTAGAAGAATGAAAAGGAGGTGTATGTGGCAGGAATGTTTAGAGCCCAGGAGTGTGATGGTACTGCAGAGGCAGGCAAAAGCCATGTGTCTCAGTCTCACCGAGCATAACATTTTTCCTTTGGAAGGGTTTAAGCAGAGAAATGACACCATTTTGAAATGGTCACATAGTTTTTCTCTAGTGAATGTTAAACTAAGTTTGCATCCTGAGACAAAGCCTTCTTGGCCATGGTATTGTTGGGTTTAATTTGCTAATACTGTATTGAAGAATTTGGGCTCAGTTTTCTTGTAATGTGTTTGTCTGGCTTTGTATTTTTTTTGTTTGGTATCTTTTATGTTTGAAAAGTTTACTTACTACATTTATAATGGGACAAGAATGGTTGTGGAATGATCAATAGGAAATTAGTGCAGTAGCTCAGGCAAGAAATGACAATTCACTAGTGTGGGAGAGGCAGAAATAGAAGTGGACAGACTAGAGAACTGTAATCACAGGGATAAACCAAATCTGTGGAATTGGGCATGGTGTAATAGTACATGATACAGTAATGTATCTTACAATGATTAAAACATTGCATAAAACTTTCTACTGTTAATTCATAGGAGTCCTTTGTCATTTTACATTTTGAAAGTATCCAAATATTTAAGACAAAATATTTGAAAAATCTTTTAATGATCATGCTTGTGCTAAYTCCTCAAGTTGTTTCCTTTTTTATTTTAAGAAATTTCTAAAAATTGGGTCTTTTAATTCTGGAAAGTTAAAATAAGGATGAAAAAGAAACTAAGATTCTCTTGAGTCCCAGTGGGCCAGGAATAGGTATTTTAACATAAAAGTTTCTAAATTTTGTGATCCCTTTTAATCTTCACACAAACATGAGAGTAAATTGTGTAAGTCACACATTTAGAAAATATTAAAGCCAGGATTCAAATCTAACTTTTTAAAAATTCCAAAACATTGTCTTTAACATCCTTAAATTACCAGAAGTATTACTCTGATAATATGACATTTATTTGTTTAGTCAGGATACATCAGATTAAGGGGCATCCTTAGAACTTGCTTTCAACAAAAATGTTCTTTATGAAACTTAATAACCCAGAATGTCAGTGTGTGTGTGTGTGTGTGTGTGTGTGTGTATCTCACTAGAGAAAATAACTGTAATTCAACTACTTTTATGTGCTCAAGGTATACTTCTATACTACTGTCTCATTTAATTCTGTAAAATAAGCTCCTCAGGTAGGTGTCGTCAGGATGTTTTTCTGATTTTATAAATAAGCATACTAAAGTGAAGAGATGATTAACAGCTTCTGAGGTCATATAGTAAATGATGGAGGAGGATTTTAAACAACTTTTACAATTGAAAAATGTTCTATACCTTAGGAATTTAGAGAAAGTTAAGGCAGATCTAGATTTAACTCAAAGTTCATCATTTAGCAGTTGAGAGCATAGACATATTTTTAAACCTCTAAACCCAGGTTCCTCATTTGTGAAATGAAAAGAATGATAGTTTGCATATTGGGCATTGTCAGGATTATAAATACTTAATAAATGGAACCCACAATTCATAGTACAGTGTTTTATTCGTTTGTTTTTAAAAATTAAAAATAGAATACTAAGGTAGACTGTGGGCAATTTGTGAAAACCTGATATGTTTCCCTGGCTGATGTAGTATTTGTGTTTCATTCTTTTTTGTTTTTGTTTCTTGCCCCATTAAGGATTTCAGTTTTTCTGACTTTTAAATAAGAGGATGATTGCTCACAGAAAGAAGAAGGCAAATAAAAAGTCTGTTTCAGCATCAGGCCAACTTTCTGCTGATAAGTCCATAAGTTCCAACTTAGCATCAAGGAAGGACTACATCAAGGAGGTGTTGAATGATATCAGCGAGGTCACCCACATGTTACAATATTTCAAGGAAGCTATTCTTTCTGGTTTGTTCACTGTTTTCTCTTAGCATACTTACTGGATAGGTTGTAAAATTTTAAATGCTAGCCTCTCTACAGATAAGTGTGTACACAATGGTAAAATTGTTCTGTTTCAGTTATTTTATGGTTAGTTTTTTACCTATGTGTTTGATGTTTACAATGTAAACCATTTTATAGTTAAATAATTGTGCAGTTGGGGCATGATATTGGCTAAACTATATTGTTATATTGTGTGTATGTATGAATATGTAAAAACAAAGCCCACCATAATGTACAACTGTAATGCACCAATAAGAATAATGGGGGAAAATGAATAAAAGCAAAATAAAAATTAAAAAATAAATAATAGTGCACTATAAAATAAAAAATTGGTAAGGGTGGGGAAACAAGAGTACCAAAAAGAAAAAGAAGTCTTTGGTTCCTCTCAGTTTGGTTCAGGATAATTTGAGATCATTGGAATCTAAACCTTCTTGTTAAAGGCAATACAGCACATTGATTGGTCTTTAGTAAGCAAACTAATGTTTATAATGTAGATTGTCGATGCTTTGACCTTAATTCAGCTTTCCATATCGTTGTCGAATTTAAACTGACTGTACTAGAATGAATTTTATTCCCCAATATTCAAACTTAATTCTGTTTTGCTGATTTGTAACCTCTTCTTAAATTAAGGACTAATCACAGAATTTGTCTAGTTAGAAATAGATAATAGGATTTGGTTATCCTGAAGTAAAGAGTTATGTGTTCCCTGACTTAATCGTAGTACCTAAGTCTTTTAGTGTTTCTTTAATGTCCCAATTTGATATCAGTGATAATACATAGTTGAGAGAGCTCCTGAACTTTTGTGATAAGTAGCAGTTCATTTTCATATTCATAATGTATGTTATATGAAGTGAAGATTACTCTTCACTTTCATTGTATTTATATGAGACTTCATGGGCCTTCATAGAAATTTGTGAGATTTCAACAAATCATTCATATATATAATATATATTTTCTTAATGTATATATATCTTTCTTTCTCTCTATCTCTATCTCTTTGGTTATTTTCTGGTATGCATTTTGAAAACCAGAATCTAAAACCACATTTCATGCTTATACTAAATTTCAGGGTTTATTTCTAACCTAATTATAATGTTTAAGTTGAAATTCCTGAAATAAGTGAACTAGAATTGAAGCCTCCAAAAAAGAAAAAATGATTATTTTTTTCTGGCATTGAGGCTTAAACCCAGGATATCATGCATGCAAGGTGAGTACTCTACTACTGAACAACCTCCCCAGTCCCAAAGCCTCAAAATTTTAGTGTTTGAATTTTCATTACAGCAGCAATCATATGTTACTCTTTTGAGAGTACATTAAAAAATATGTATATAATTTATATAATATATATATATACAATTATGTGTGATGTGTGTGTATAAATATATGTATATATATGTACATATATATAAATATATGTATATATATATATGTATATACACACACATACATACACACACACACATATATGTAAAATATGATTTTGGGGAGGGATTCCAGAGATTGAATCTGGGGCACTTAACCACTGAGCCACATTCCCAGTCCCCCCACCCTTTTTTCTTTTGTTACTTATTTTGAGAGAGGATCTTACTAAATTGCTTAGGGCCTTGCTAAGTTGCTAAGGCTGCCTTTGAACTTGAGATCCTGGTGCCTGGGCTCCTTGGGTATTACAGGCATGCCACCACATCTGGCTCCCGACTGTAAATATTATCAGAAGGAGGTTGCTCACACTCTTGTTAATTTCAACAGGTTGATTTTGAAGTCTAAAATGGATGATTAAATTGTGGTAAAGAGGGCTGGGGTTGTGGCTTAGTGGTAGAATCCTCTCCTTGCATGTGTGAAGCACTTGGTTGGATCCTCAGCACCACATAAAAATAAATAAATTAAATAAAGGTATCATGTTCATCTACAACTAAAAAAAAATTGTGGTAAARATAACTTGTTATGGGGGCTGGAGTTGTGGCTCAGCGGTGGAATGCCTGGGTTTGATCCTCTGTACCATATAAAAATAAATAAATAAAATAAGGGTATTTTATTGTATGTATGTAGTTGTGTCCAACTACAATTAAAAAAAAGTTAATAAAAATCACAAGCTTTATAATAAAAATAAGATAACTTGTTATGGAAAATATCCTAAATATATTAAGTATTATACTGGTAACAAATTCCTTAGTATGATGACACATCTGCCATTTATTCAAAGGAGTATAATTTTGTAATAAAGATTTCTTCTTAACTGGCTTAATCATTTAAAATTTATTTTTAAGTTTGCCTATAGTAAATTTTGTTCTCTTTGATGTACATTTTATTACTGGGTTAATTTTTRAGGTGAAATTTAAAATAATGTATTCAATGACAAATAATTTACCTCAATTTAGGGTAAAACATGATGTTACTTAATATATTAATGGAAGTACATTTTTAATAATATAAATAGGATTTTTAGTTAGAATTTCTGTTTGTTGTTTTTTTCCTTAGGAATTTTATACCTTTTAACATCTTCATCTTACATAGGTATCCCTTGTTTCACAGATTTTAAATGGTGGTAATTTAAAACAAGTTGAACCACTCCTTATTGGCAAAAAAATTTTGAGTTTTAATTTTTGAGTAGACAATTCAGAGAATAGGAAAGAACTGAGGATAAGAAGCTGATCCTCAGTGAGTAAAGAGAAAAATGGTAATAAGATACAGAAGGCGACCACCCTTCAGATAAAAGGATATACAGGGGAAAAAATTTATTCACTGAGATTTAAGTTTAAAAATTTGTATGGACATTATCCTTTTAATAATAAGCATTCCAGTACTTAAATAACAGATGTGTCATCAGTAATTAAAAAGCTTTTAAATTAATTTTTAAAAACCATGGAAAACAATTTTTTGATAACCAATTCTCATACTAATGAGATTGATTTTAATGCTTGATTTATCAATCAGGTTTTAAAAGATACATGTATACCACGTCAGAATGAGTTTTGAATTTTGTAAGAATTTGTTTGTAAGAATTTGTAAGAATGAGTTTTGAATTTTGTAAGAATTTGGAAAATTGTTGCCAAATCTGAAAATTACTATTTAATTAATTTGGCTAGAACCTTTTTGTTTTTGTTTTCCTTAAGTGAGGAAGTATATACAAACATAAATGAACCCCATTATAAAAGATCAGGAGATTGCTATATAATAATATGCTTGTGTTTAAGTTTGAGCATGATTTTCAGCTTCTTAGAGTATCAGATTATTTCTTATTTACTTAATAGAGTTATTATAAGATATAATCTTCAGGCAAACAGTTAAAATGTTTAAAATGCTGTAACTCTTTGAGGTAGTATTAATTACATACATTTCTATAGACGTGGACCATGTGTACTGGGAACTATTCCTGGACTTCTGTAGTTACCACTATAGCAATAAACAGTGGCCAGAAAGCAAAGAGCTGTTTCACTGTTCTCTTGGTGTGAAGGAACCTTGTCAGTATTTTGCCAGAGACGCTGTCAGTACTTTGTCTTTTGCCTTCAAAATTCTGGCACTGTTTATTACCTTTTAATTCACATCTGTTAGCCATTAAAAAAACTGAAAAGTTAACCTTTAAGAATAAAAAATGTGGATAGACAAATCACCTTTTGGTCTAATCAGAATACCCCTTTTTAATGTATACTTTAGTTGTAATGAGGCAGTAATACTCAAATTCACTTGACTTTGCCTTAGGTGTTTAATCCTACTGTTGAGGATAGACTTATAAGTAGCTTTGTGATTGGTTTATGGTCATATTTTCATTTACCCAAATGAGTTGTAAAAATGATCATTCCAGACCCCAAATTCTAAAATGCAAAGCTTTTTTTTGAGTACCATGGCAATAGAAAAAAAAATGTTTCCAATTTTAGAGCATTTGGATTTTCAGATTAGGAATGCTGAACTGGTGAAGTCTATGCAAGTATTCTAAAACCTGAAAAATTCCAAAATCTAAAATATTTCTGGTTCCAAACATTTTGGGGATACTCAAGCTCTACATTTGTACATGGTGTTTTCCAATTTACGGAATACCTGCATATGCAAAGAAATTTATTCATTTAGTACCCATAAAGGCAAGTACTTTTAGCCAYATTTTACCAATAAGATGTATGTATAACTAAGATTGTATGATCTTTGTCAGCTTTTTATTGCTGATAAATAATGACCTTATTTGGGGCCCCAGAAGTCATTAATACAGAATGGTACATTCTTTCTAGCCTATTGCACTTGCCTTACTTGGCAGGCACTCTATAAAAGCACTGCTCAGTTTTCATTTTTCACTAGCCAATTCTGTACTCTCTGGGGATTGTCTAAATTTGCACTGTCCGTCTGWTATGGTAGCCATTAGATATACATGACTGTTTAAAGTAAAAACTTCACTCCTCAGTTGCAGTAGCCACCTTTTACATGCTCAGTAGTACATGTTTCTAGTGGTTACCATATCAGAGTAAAGATACAGAAAATTTCCATTATTTCCGAAAATTCTGTTGGATAGTATTGATGGAGACATTTGGTCTTCATAATTATTGAGACTACTGAGATGAGTTCTTGCACTGTAAATATTCGTTTTATTTCTATAGCATTTTTTAAAACCTAGAAAAGTTGTTTGATAACAATAAGCAAATGTTTAAGTTTTTTTTCCCAATAGAAACAGAAGTCCATTTAAAATCCCCCCTTTTTTTTGAGTTGTTCCTGGAGTGTATCAATTTTATTCCCTTCTTGATTTGTACCATCAGGTARTTTTCTAGCTAGGTCATGTAGTGATTTAGTGGCAGTAAAGGATGGCAGAAAAAAACTCTCCCAGAGAATCGTATCATCCAGGTTCTAGACCTAGTTCTGCTACTGCTTTGGAATATGTCTTAAGTCATATAATCATTTCTTAAGAATGAGTTACTTGGATAAGGTTCTGTCAGTCTTATGAGTTTGTGAATCAGAATTTGACTCAAGTTGGAGATTATACATCATTT